ACTAATGGATGAAGTTTTCACTAGTCCAAATAGATCTATATGCAGATGTTCTAATGGTCTAGAGGTAGAAACAATATTTTTTTGTTTTGAAAGAATTTTTTGCAAACTTGCCTTTTTGACATGCTTCACATAGAGCATCTGAGCAGAATTTCATGTTAGGAAGTCCTCTGACTAGATTGATTTTTTTAAATTGATATATTCTTCTCATACTTACATGCCCTAATCTTCTGTGCCAGACCCATTGCTCATCGTTAATATAAAATAGGCATTTTACATTCTGACTTTTTAGTTCATAAAGTTTTATTTTGTAGATGTTATTCTTCCTCTTTCCATTAAATAGGATAGATCTATCTTTCTGACTAACTGCTTTACAGGACATTTGATTGAAGATTATATCATAACCGTTATCACTTAATTGGCTTATGGATAACAGGTTATGCACTAATCCATATACTAAAAAAAAATTAGTTATAGAAGGAAGTGTACCGTTAGCAATAGTTCAAGAGCCGATAATCTTTCCTTTCTGATTGCCTCCAAAACCTACGTAGCCTCTAGATTTAAGCTCCAAGCTTTGGAACATATTCTTTCTTCCCGTCATGTGTTGAGAGCATCCAGAGTCAAGGTACCAAGATTGGTGTTTCAGTTTTGCTGTTAAAGACATCTGCAACATAGACAATTTTGTCCTTAGGTACCCATATCTTTTTGGGTCCTTGTTTGTTAGAGTTACCAAAATTCTGTTTGAATTTTGGTTTCACAGAAAAAGAATTACTAATATACTTTATGTCACGTGTGTTCCCATAAGTGAGTTAGAATAAAGGGGGGGTGTTTTATGGCCATATCCTTAACCTTCTTAGGTTGAGATACTTTAACCTTGTATCCTATTCCTTTTCTTTCATTTCTGCTAACTCCACAGATCATTGAAGCCATCTTGCTCCTATCTATGTTTTTAGAAAGAAATTTTTGAAAGCTATGATCATATTCTTTTATGATCTTATCAGAGTTACTAGGAACTTCTGAGACAGTTTCTTTCTGATACTTTTGTAATTTATTTTCGAGTTTAGAAATTTTTTCTTTAAGCTCAGAGTTTTACATTCTCAGTCTCTTAGTTTCTTCAGAGTTAGAAGCTAGATCCTTTTTTAGGTTCTTATTTATGACTCGAAGTTGTTGATATCTTTCAAGAATTTCTGAAAGGCTTTCTTCTAATTGAGATCTAGAAAAGTTAGAGAATACCTCTTCTTCCTGAGTCTGATTCTAATTCAGATGATCCAGTGTTATCTGATACATTGGCCATTAGGGCTATATTGGCTCTTTCATCTTCTGATTCTGTTTCAGCTTCAGAAGATTCTGAGTCATCCCATATTTCCATGAGGCTTTTCTTCTTTTCTTTAAATAACTTCTTTTTAGGTTTCTGTTATTGGAGATTTGGACAATCGCTCTTGTAATGACCTTGTTCATTGCATTCTTAGCAAACAATATCTTTGTTACTTGGTTTTTTATATCTAGAAGATGGTTCAGAATGATTTCCTTTTCTTCTAGGCGTTCAGAACTTCCTCTGCCTATGCTTCCACAGCTGATTGACTCTTCTAGAGAGAAGAGATAATTTGTCTTAATCTGATTAGGATCCACCAGAGGTTTCTTCTTTTTCCTGTAAAACTTTTGGTTCATATTTTTTGTTATATTTAATAGCTAAAGACATACCTTGCTTCTGGGGCTCATCTTCTTCTAATTCTATCTCTTGACTTCTCATGGAGCTGACAAGTTCTTCTTTGAGAGACTTTATTCAGATCTTTGGTCAGTTTTAGCGCTGTGACCTAGGGTCTCCATTTCTTGGGTAAACTTTTAGCCCAGCAACCAGAATTTGAAATATTGAGAACATTGATTCAATGGTTTCATCTTCTTCTATTTTGAAAGCTTCATACTTCTGAATGAGAGCAAGAGCTTTGGTTTCTTTAACTTGTGTGTTGCCTTCATGCGTCATTCTCAAGGAGTCAAACATGTGTTTTGATGATTCTCTATTTGTAATCTTCTCATACTCTGCGTACGAGATAACCCTCAAGAGAATTGTTCTAGCCTTGTGATGATTTCTGAATTCCCACTTTTGATGATCTGTCATTCTTTTTTTGTCAATCTTCTGACTGCTTTCGTTAACTGGATATATGTACCCATCAGTCACGATATCTTAGAGATCAACACCATGATCTAGAAAGAAACTTTCAATTTTGTCCTTCCAATAATCAAAGTTTTCACCATCAAAGATTAGAGGTCTGTCGTTGATTATGTCTTTCTCATCGTGATAATCATAGCTGATGTTCTGACTTGGTCCCACCATAGTGTTTTTCTTGCTTGGATCTTTTTCTGACACGGTTAAGTGTTTGCACTCAGAACCAGGCGCTCTGATACCAATTGAAGAATGGAAAAACGCAAGAAGGTGGGGCTTGAATTGGGGTTTTTAAAACTTAATACAAAAGACACGTTGGTTATCCTTGTTTGTTTGAACTCAAACTACTCCATTCCACCCGCCAAAGTGATTTTGTCTCTCTCAACGAGGTCTTAATCCACTAAACAAACTTGATTACACAGATATGATGACAATTGTCAAAGTCTTCACAAGTTTAAACCACAACCCAATTTTCTCAAGGTATTACACAATACAATATTTGAAAGCGTGTACAAGATGTGTTTTCTAACAAAACAATATCACACAAGTGATGTATTACACAATGAAATTCAATAGATTGATGGTGAGGATATTTCTCATTTGTTCTGCACCGCAAAATCGTAAACGATTTCTCCTTCAAGTCTTGTTTATATAGGCAACGCATGTGAGGTGCTTTTGGAATGTTGATAAATAGTAATTAAAGAGCTTTCCAAACATAGATATTTGTGTCATCTTTCAGCTGTTACTTTTGAATAGGCATGAATGAAATGTAACACTTCAGAACATGCTTGCTAAAGATTACATCAGAAGATGAATGTTACCGTTGGGACTCCTTTGCTTCTTTCCAGAATTGTACAAAACAGAATAATGGAGTTCTTGTTCGCAGCGTTTAGTGCACTCAGAAGTTGTAGCTTTAGAACTTCTTTATATAGATGTGTTATGCATATTTTTCTTTCTATATAAGATGTGTTGCATCAGAGTTTAAACACGATCTAACTCATCTTTTATGCTTCTTACATCAGAACTTCCCTGCAAAATAAAATACTTATTTAGGGAGTATAATTGTTCTTTGAGTGTTTGTTATCATCAAAACTCTTACTAAGATTGTAGAATCAAACTATGTTCTAACAATTCTTACCACCTATGATTTCCATACCTTAACCGAACCACCTCATGTTACCATTACAACCTGATCTTCGTACTCGTCGAGCTTCCGACGTTAAACAAAGAACCTCATATGAGGCAACCCATGGATTTTCATTTTCTTAAACGGTTAATTTTTAATTTCAGTTAATAAATATCTAACTTGTGTTTGTTTTCTTTTCAGAGCCACTACGTTCTACTTAGCCAGATTTTATCCACTAATATCATTTCAAGATGCAGACATCGGATGAAATGAAGATCATTTTCAAGGACGATGACCAGAGGAAGCGCTTTGATACCCTAGCTAAGGGAACTCTCTCACCTACCAGATATCCAAATTTTCCTTCCTTGGTCTAATTAAGACTTGTTGACAATGTCCGATTTATTTTTACCCAGAAGGGTTGGGATAGATTTTCAGTAGCAAAACACCCAACCTACAGAAACCTCACACTGGAATTCTTAAGTTCATTCTGTTTCCAGCCCCACATTGTACAAGGAAAAGAGAGAGGCTTAGCCATATTCAGACTTTTTGACCAGTATTATGTCTCACCTATAAAGAGTTAGCCATATCCCTTGCTTTTCATCATAGTCCCCTAGCTTATTTTGAAGTGTTGATTGATATGCAAGGCAAACTAGACTTTTTCTGGAGAGGAATTACTAAAGATTCTTGTCATACCCCAAATTTGCCCCTAAGGTGTCAATAGTCAACTAATCCTTTTTAGTCATTTTTGTTATTTGAATTTTAGTGTTATTATAATTTTGTTACTAACTTAGTTTTATATACATTTTTTAGATATAGTGGTTTAAAATGAGAAATTAGGGGAGGCGTATTATTATTCTAAAAATATCATCTAAGTTGGCCCATTAAGTTTTGAAAGGCCCATTTTTTAGAGGTTGACCGAAGTTAACATCTATTTCTAGATTGTTAGTGATAATTATTATTACCTCTCGTTATTATTGTTTTGAATTTTCTTTTTTTTTGTTATCAATTTCAATATGTTATTAATATTATTAGTAATATTATTATATTATTAGAACTTTTATTTTTAATATTATTATTAGTACTATTATTAGTATTATTATTACTAGACACTATCTTATTATTATTATTATTAATTATTAAACAATATTATTATTATTATCATTAAAACCAGATATTATCAGTTATTATTTATTTTATTTTAATTATTATTTTTTATTATGTAAAAGGTGTTGACCAGAGTCAACAAGGGTGTTTGAAACCCTAATTCCCAACAGGCAACGGCGGCTTGTTCTTCGTCCTCTTCGTTAAGCAAGCTCGAAAGCCCATAAATAAAATCACAACGAATCAGTTTCATTGATTGGATTTATAACACGTAACAAAATCCAGATTCATCAAACACATACATCCTAATCTAAATCTAATTTACAATAGAATCACAATCAAATCCCTAAATCTAAACCAATTTACAAGCGAATCAATCTCTAAAACCTAATTTTTTATTACAATCAATCATCAATCACATATTGTAACAGCAAATCACAATAATTTTTCCTAATTCGTTATATCCCTAAAACTATAAAACCCTAAGTTTCTAATTGAACAAGGACCAAAAATTGCTAGCAGAAAATTGAAAGAAAGGAGAAGAAGTAGAGGAAGAATTTGATTCGGCCGCACTCTCCTCCCGATGTCAAAGCCCCTCGTTCGAAGTTCTAGGTTTCAAAAGTGAAACCCTAGATTTCTTAATCCTCTGTCGTCCTCATCGTGCCTGCAAATTGAAGGAGAAGAAGGAAATCAGAAATCTAAAACCATGGGAATCAGAGGACAACACAAAAATCACAACCGGGGAGGTATATTCGAAAACTTATCTTTGATAATCGTGACGATGTTGCTTCTTATTTTGGGGAATTTCTGAAGAAATTGGGGGTTAGGGTTCGAGATCATAACATGATCGGGGGTTTTCTGGGTTTGATGTCGTTTGGGGTTTGATTTCTCCCGTTGTTTTTCATCTGCAGGTGGTGCCGTCCGCTGCATTTTGTGGTTGGATGGTGTTTTCAACCGCAAGTGATGCTTTTGATTTGCGACACGTGGCCTTTAACAGGCCATGTGATGGGCGTTGTACAGCGATCCCATGCGTAAGCATTACCGTGCACCCTCAGTCAGCATTAAATCTCCGCCCTTAGATTAGGATGAGCGCTCTAGATCCCTGCGCGCCCAGTATAACACGTAAGTCCACCCAAATCGTATCCAAATGCACCCAGATTAGTATTGGGCCTCTTATACAAAATATTGGGTTGAACCCATTGCTATGCCAACACCCTCTTTTATTACTCAAGTATAACGTACACCCCTGTGTGTTAATGGGCCACGACCAAATTCTGGACTTGTGCCCCTCTTTTCCACACCTCCCATTTTTACTACCCTCTTGTAATCCACACCCCCAGCCATTTGGGCTCAAAATTTCTTTGAGTCAAAATATTTTTTCTCATACACTACACAATCTTAGTTTTACACCCCCTAAAAACTTAATTATTTTTCTTAAATTATTGAATTCTTTTAATTTGTTTATTTTATATTCTTAATTTAATTCTACATATTCTTTAGCATTTTCATTAAATAATTTTTTGCATAATTATTAAATTTTTTGTTAAAAATATTTAACATATTATAATTAGAAAATAGGTATTTTCTAAAAGCAGTAACCCTGATTTTTATAATTGGATTAAACATTTTTTTCTCATTCAAATTTATTTTCTCATATTGCATAGCACCTCTAAAATAGCTAACCAACCAAATGCTAACCTTTTTTATACTAACATAAAATTCAATATTATTTTCAAAAAAGGATTGTGGAAATCTTTTATATTAACTACGATTTGCGTCTACGATTCAGCTATTTTCAACTCAGACTTGATTCAAGAATTAATTCAAAATACTTTCACAATCCATAAAAAAACTAACCAAACACTTCGAACTAGAAATTAGGACTCTGATTCCTCAGAAGAGGATACGTAGGCATGCGTCTTAAAAACCAAGACGAGTTCCACTAATAAAAAAATTAAAACCATATCCTACCCTTTTAACTTAAACCCTAGGACTTCCTTGAGAACAAGGTACATGAAGGGTTCCTAACATCTTCCCTTCGTCTAAAGTGAATCAAGAACTTAGAATATCTATACATTTAGGGTTATTCCATTATTCACCCGTCGTTAGGGAAAAAGTAGTAGTGGCGACTCATAATTTTTTCTGGTTATGAAAATTCTCACCCTAATCCCGAGGCTATGAATAACACTCTAATCCACAATCTTACCATCCGTTACTTTCATATGGTTACAACCCAACCATTCTTTGGAAAAGTACCAAACCAAACATGTGTGAGCAAAGATGAGTTGTACTTTATCTTGAGGGTTTTCCAAAACCTCCCCATTAACTCTACAAACTTCGTTTTGCAAAATTTTAGCCAGGTTGCTAATCAGGCCATATAAAACATCTTTGTAGGCGGACTAGTTACTCATATTGCAATAGCACTAGGCCTATGCAATCACATAGCTCACGTAACCCATGCTTTCAGGTATGACCTGCTTGATATAGACATATGTTTCAATTATAGTCTATTATGGCATGAGGGACCCGACCGGTTTAGATTTCTAATTAACTATGAAGCAGTTAAGCATTTTACCTTATAAAATGAAGAGCTTACTAGCGTCCATGACCAAAATAACTGGCGGTACAAATTAGAAAACCCACATGAAAACCCATCACCACCAGAGACTCCTCCCGCACCTAGAAATGACAATAATCCACTAGAAGCACCTTCATCACCCTCTTCAACAAATCCTACTGATAATTAACATGTTGACTATGAGCTTTACGCTTTAAGAAGAGGAATCGTAACCATTCGCTGTGACCAAAGGGAATAAGTCGACATACTAACTGAGTAGATGGACAATCTTTTTTCAGGAGATATATTCATTAAGGAGAGCTCAAGGCCGTCATGGCCCCTGATCGTGACTACTCACCAGGTTCTATCATTCCGATTTCACCTTAGATCAAAACATTGAGGACAATGTTCGGTTTAAGTGTGGGAGAGGAACTTTACTCACTTTTTAGTTAGATTTCTTGTTTTCTAGTTAGATTTCATTCTTTCTAGTTAGATTTATTGCTTTTAAGTATCTCTTTTATCTTACTTCGAGTCCTTGCATGTATTTCCGAGTCTTTATGCATGGTTTTGGTTATTTATTGAATATTTCCTTTTATTGAGCCATACCGATTTTTTTTGAAAAATAGTAACAAAATTTGTTGTAAATTTGTGGTTATTAAACAAATAAAGTAAAATTGTTGTGATCGATCTGGATAATTTCAGCATCATTTTAACATCATAAGCCTCTTGATTATAGTGATCAATCTAGATAATTGTTGTGCTTTAAACCTTAGAATTCTCACCCCTAAACAAGTCCTTAAATAGTTTATTTTAGCAGTCGGCTCCGGCCGGAGCATGCTCTATGTAGGGAATCCGATGAATATAAGTGAATGATCCTAATTTTCATTCTATAACCAATAAAAAATTGGGAATACAACTTCTAAGTTAGCGGACCCTTAGTCGGTCACTTACCTCAACAGTTGTGGAACCTGCAAAAATAGAATAAAACTCGCTGTTAGTTGGTTCAGAGGTATCTTATTTTGAATTGGTATGACGAATCAAGGTTTGATCCCCTATGACTACAATCAGGTAAACAACTGGGTTACACCACCTCAGGTACCAGAACCCCGTACAAAGGATCAGAGTCATTAGTCGGTCGCCTTACTATGAGTGTGCATGGAAAACAGACTTAATGTGATTGCGTCTGAATGAAAAAGGATATAAAAATGGGATGATTAAGTTAGGCTTAAGCATAATAACATGATTTAGACCGGTTTGTACATGAGAGAGTCTTATGCCCGCAAATATTTGGAATGTGTTATTATGATACTCTTGTTTTTGTGAACTAGTACCTATTTATATAACCTTGTCCAAAGAAGAGTCTTTAAGCCCAAAGTAGCTCTTAAATGTCACATTTTACTTTAGTTTTTCTTGAGGACAAGCAAAGGTTCACGTGTGAGAGAGTTTGATAGGGCCAAAACACATTGTGTATTTTACTCGATTTGTGCATGTTTTATTGTTGTTTTATTTCTTTTTCCACTATTATGATGTTTTTTGACCATGTTTCAAATAAATGACCATTTGGGAGTCGTACGCAAAGAAATGAAGTAAAACAGATGAAAAACAAAATAATCAGGGGAAAATACACTCAAGGAGACCACCATGGCGTTCACCATAGAGGTGTTCGTGAGTGGTCCATGTCTCAATGATTAAAAGACCAAGTCTCAGGTGCCTTACAAGCATGGCGATCGCCATGGAAGGTGTGGCGACCGCCACACATCATAAAGACTAGGCAATTAGAATTTGGGCTTTCTTGGTCAAGGAACCACCCCACTCCCTCCTACTTTCTCTCCATGCTTTAGAAAACTTCCTTTGTGCTTTTAGGGTTTTGAAAACTCTATAAATACATCCTTTCATCCAACATTGAGATCATCCAAGCTTAGTTACAAACTTAAGCCACATACTGTCAAAATTGTAAGCGATTACCTATTCACATCAGAGGTTATCACATCATTGATTGAGTCTATAAATGAGTTTGGAGAAAGCTTTATTTGAAGCATTAATCTTGCTGTCATTTACTTTTCGCATTCAAGTTCAACAAATTTACTTCCTGTACCAGATTAAAGTCTCTTCGGAGCAGGTTTATTTATCACATTTCATTTTTTTATCGTCTCTTTATTTACCCACACTCTTATTTTCTCGCGAGCTCTTTTTCTACCTTTCTTTTAATTGCACGTTTAAAGTTTCATTTAATTTATCTGCTATGTCTTATTTCATGATCAAATCAATCATTTTATTGTGTTCCACAACCATGTCTAGATAAATTTATAAGTGTTGGAATGTGAGGATTGTCGATTCAATGGTACTCTAAACTGTTGTTCTTTGAGAAATACTTAGGGACCTTTTTTGGTTTAATCACAACTTTTATAAACTTAAATATGTCGGTTGCTACGAAAGTAGGACCATTTATAAATCGGTAAGATCAAAAGTCGTTCGGTACAAAATATTAAGGTTGTCTTTCTTTTAATTGATAAAAACCGCGAAAAATATTTGTTAATTAATTAGGAAGGTTAGCATTTTAGTAAAGTACTTTTAAACATATTTTTGAACGCGTTTGTATGTTTAGAGTACGGTTGGCCGAGCGAACACCGAGAACCTTTTAAAATCTTATTTTCCAATCAATTTTTTTCCCGTCTAAGCACAGAGTCTAATTTCTTAAAATATGGTTTACTACTTTAATGCTAGTAGCGCCGACCACCGTGACAATGGATGGTATAAATTAGAGAGTAAAATCTGGTTCTGAATACGCGAAAGAGACAGCTCATGTTTAATTAGATCTTTTCAAAGTAGGAAAATATTGTTCTAGAGTAATTTGATTTATGAATAACAAGAGTATTGACGAATTGATGAGATTCATATTCCAACATTGCTTTTTCTGATATTAATTCAAGTCTCTTACTTACTTTATTTTCACAACTCCAATCTTTATTTTATTAGCCTTAGATAAACACCATAACGATAGTAAATGATAGATTTGACTACTGGTCTTTGTGGGTTCGACACTCTTTATATTACTCTGATACTATAAGAACACAGGATATAAAGAGAGATCCAGTAAATTAAAAACGTGATGTGCTAATAATCATTAACAACTTCATTAGAGGCACAATGTTCTTCAATAAAGGTGTTGTAGGAAGTTTTCTTGAACTCAAATCAGGCTTGGTCTTGGTAATTTTTTAGGGTTTAAAATCCTTGTCAGTTGGTCGAAGATCGAAAATAACAGAGACATCAAAGAGTGTGGGGGTCATCATCCCACAAGGAAGATGAAACGGGATAGTAACAACCTCCTTGAAACACAAAGCATCAATAACCATAGAAGGATTTTACCTAGGGC